GGTCGAGAGTCTCTCCGGTGGGAACGAGCGATCGCGAGCGAGCGTAAAAAGGCGAAAAAAGCAGAGGAGACGGAGAGGGGAGCGGCGCGTATATAAATATTAATACGGAGTTACTTTGAGATTAAGCCGAGGCCGCCAGGCAGATTTCGAGGCGGATCCCGAAGGGCGTCGGGCGCATTCCAGCGGCCGCGTTTCCGCGATGAGTAATCAACGACGGGCGGGTCGACGCCATTCCGAAGCTCGACGTTCCGATGCCTTCCGGAAGCATGCGGAGGTGCAAATATCGGCTCGCGCTCCCTCCCCCCTGCCCCTCCCTTTCTCGTACTCTCCGAGGCATTTTCGCGCGAGTGCACCTGTCGCGCCTTCGCCGCGCGCTCGACACCCACCTGCTCGCACCTACCTGCCTACCTAGCCGCCTACCTGCCTATCTACCTGCCTGCCTGCTTGCCTGCTTGCTTGCGCAGCGAAGCGCAGCGAGTGACGCTCGTAAGTTCCGTCGTGAATGCGCAACGCGCGGAACAGTCGCGAAGGCAAATATTGCAGATTTTCGCCTTCCCGCGGCCTCGCTCGCTCTTTGTCGGTGCTTCCCCGGCGCGTTACGTGATTTGTAGGTCCGTGTGCTTCGCAGCACTGCGTGATTTACGAGCACCTCAGGCGGAGGCGGCGGAGGGCGAGGAGCGCGAGTTTGCGCGCCGGCTCGCGCGATGCGACGTAGGGGGCGGGAGGAGCGTAAACAATCGACGGGCGGGAGACGAGTCGCGATTCCCTTACAGCGAAATACTCTTAGGCGTCCCACGGATTTATATTGCATTATCGCTCGGCGGGTGTCTCGTGACATTTGCGCGGGTTGTCTGTATTCCCGGGTGAAGGGTCGTCAATAGCTTCCACGTCGTTTCGCTTCGCCTCGTCTTGTCTTTGGTTTGGTTTCGATGGTTCCGAAAGGAAGATCAGCCATCGCAGGAAAGCCGATGCGAGAAAGAAGGAAAGGAGGAAAGCGGGTCTGTGCCGGAGAGAATTTCCTCAACAGCTGGAAACCTTCTCAGACTGCTCTGTCGGTTTGACGTTTCATCCGAAGGCTCAGACACCGGAAGGTATTCGGATAAATAAATGTTGGACGAGGCACTTCGCGTCTTCGGCGCTTCGCCGAGGGAAGAGAGAGAGAGAGAGAGAGAGAGAGAGAGAGGAGGAGGGGGAGGGGGAGGAGAAAAAGGAGAGCAAGAGAGAAAGGAAAACGAGCAGATCAGCCGGTCGCCGGCCTGAAAGAGAGAACCGTCTGTTTTCATAATATTCGATTGAAACGTCGGCGAGAGACGCGAGAGAGATGGAAAGAGAAAGGGGGAGAGAGAGAGAGAGAGAGAGAGAGAGAGAGAGAGAGAGGAGGACGCACTATTTATCATGCGCTTTGGGCCATGTTCCTTCGAGCGCTGAAAAATTAATTAATACAAAATATAAAATTTGCATCTTGAGTGGATGGCAGTCGTACGTCAGGTCACATTTCAAGTTTGTATTACATGTAACTGCAGGTATCGGAAGATGTATCTCAGGAAAGATATTCCCCACAGCAATAAAGCTAAAACGAGCCCCTCGAGCGCGAAAGAGAGAGAGAGAGAGAGAGAGAGAGAGAGAGAGAGAGAGAGAGAGAGAGAGAGAGAGAAATGGAGAACGTCGCGGCGCGCGATCTCGCTAGGCGATCGGATCGAGCGCGGGATTTTTGCGCCGGTCGTTGTCTCAACGCATCGATGCCCCTGCGCTTATTACCCCGATAATTTCCACCCCTTCCTCCCGACCGTGGTACGTGCGAGAGAAGACGGTGGTGGAAGCCCTTTAAATCTCTCCGCCGTGAAATTACTCTGCGGTGGCTCTCCTCCTCCTCCGTCATTAACCCGGCCGAGTCGTCCGCGGCTCCGAGCGCGAACGCGCGCGCGCGTCCACGAGCGAGTCGGTCCAAGTAATTACGCGCATGTATGCGCGTGTCCGTATCGCGCGCATCAACGGCGAGTAAATAACAAAAGCCCGGCCGTGCTCGCGAGGCGCTGTTCTCCTCCGGGATTTTTCTCCACCAGCTCCGCCGGCGAGCGCAACTTTCGCGCACGGGGTTTCTCTGCTCGCTCTCTCGGAGAGTCTCTCCGCAATAATGACGAAATAAACGGCGGCATGTCGCCTGAGCGTTCGAGCGAGCACATTTACGACATATTACGATATCGATAAGCTCCGCTCGCGCGACGAGTCGACCCCGCCGGAAGTGAATGGAGCTTTAAAGCGCACACGCGTGGCCCGAGAATAACGGCGCGCTTTATTGCGGCAGCCGTGTGCCGCGCGGAATAAGGGTGTCGTTCGCTTTATTTTCTCAAGACAAGAGTCAAGCAATTTCGCCCGCAACGCGCGCGCGCGCGCGGGCTTTTCATGTTTCTCCTCTCTCGCCCGCTCCCTCCCTCCCTCTCTCCCTCCCTCCCTCCCATCCTTCCCTCCGGTCGTTCCCTCTGCGCTACGCTGTTCTCTCGACGGGCGCGTGAATTAAACACGAGCACGGCTCGCTACAACCGTGACCCGAATATTGTTAGTCCCCTTATTTGCGTTTAAGCGTCTTTTAACTCGCCAATGACGCGAACAATGTCTCGTTGGAGCCTCCAACGTGTGGCAATTTCAGCGTCGCTCGTGGTCGCGTGCATCCACGAGGGGCAACGGGGGGAGGGGGGGGAAACGAGCACGAGTCTGAACCGGAGCGCGTGCGATGGTTATTTTGTGCGAATGAACATCGACGTTTTTTTCTCCTTCTTTTTCGCAACACGAAGGATCATTTTCTCCCGCTGTCCGCGACGTCAACGAATCATCTCTCTATTTTGACGGGAATAGTCACTCACTCGGACGTGAGTATCGCGAGCGGCTGTCATCGCGGGCGATACGCATTTCGTCGACAGCTTGAAAGTGTCAAGGGCAGATAAACCGGCGTAAAACAATACGCGATGTGTGCTATGAGAAGCACGACGTGCAGAGAGTGCTGAAATAAATAACAAAAATAATTAACAAAAACGCGCTCTCAGCTCGCACGTCTGTCGTGCCGAATTCAAAGACAAGAGCCGAGCCGAGAAATTGCATCGAAATCGTATCTGGCGACTGCGGACGAATCAATCGCGGAGAACAAAACCAGGGTTGGGAAAGTTACTTTGTAAAAGTATCTAGTTACAGTTACAGTTTTTTTTCATCGAGAAAGTAACTAGTTACTGAATAAATATCATGTTACGGTTATAGTTATTTAGAAAGTAACGAGTCGTTACTTTACAGTTTAGTTGTTTACAATAACAATGCTATTATTTTAAATTTCGTAATTGCGTAAGTTCCTTCAATTTTGTACGAAAGTAGTTTGTTGATTATTCCTCATATCGTATATAATTTTTCAACAAATTAGATTCATTAATTTAAATAAGCAATTCATATTTATTCTTTGAGACTATCGGGGCAAAGAAATACGAGAAGTTGTTCTCGTTTCCAAATTTTTGCTGTAACTCGAATATTTCTGCATATGCGTTGGCGTTTTACAATCCTTCTTCGAAGATTGAGATATTTTGTCTATTGCTTAAATTTCTTATATAACTGAAACCACGCAGCGCACTTGACGCTTCTGAACGCTGAAGGTTATGTTAACAAATAAAGACCATAGACATGGGAATATAGGGACAGAGCATAGAGTTGCGGGGGGATAACCATTGCGGGACGGTGCGACGAGGTGAACTGTGCTTAAATCTAATTGATGGTTGTGCCGTGTGTAAGTATTTGATACATACATAGATGTGTATGAAGTTGTGCATGTGAGTGAAATTATGGAAAAAAAGACACATGCATAACCTCTGCAAAATACCGTCAGTGTAAATAGTTGTTATCATTTTGTTACATTTACTGTTTGCCAGCGACAGCCAAGTCGTTGCATCACACGCTCTGAATATGCGTACTATTGTAGCCAATGAAACTTAGGCACAGTCGCCCCCCGCATTTCAGCACAACTCCCCTCGCCTATCTTACGGGCTTATGCTCTGTCTCTATATTCCTATGTCTATGATAAAGACTGGCGACGGAAATGTCCAATAGGCGTACAATTTTGTTTGAAAGAAATATAGGTTGCGTTCGGAGAGGAGACTATCAGCGTTGTTGCGTCATTTTATCCTTGTTTTACGTCTGATGAGCAATAAAGATAGACGACCCCTTTTCCAAATGCAGCCAGAATAACTGTATGCTTATTGGATACCAAGCACCGTACCGTCGCGTTATCATGCTGGTCTGCCAGAAACGTAAGTTTGAAACATATAAAGTGAAAGTAAAAATTAAATCAGTTACTAGTTATCAAACAAATGTAGCCAAGTTACAGTTATAGATGGAAGAAACGGAACCAAGTCAAGTTACAGTTACCGAAAAGGAGAAAGAAAAAAGAAATAACTGTAACCTCGTTACAAGTAACGAGTTACTTCCCAACCCCGAAGAGAACGCGCGCGCGATAAACGGGAAGTAAAGCAAGGTGCTCGCCGGGACTTCCACGACTGGCGAAGAACGTCGAGAAGATGGCCCGAAGATTCCTTTCCACCGGAGGGCGCGAATTTCGCTCGGCGGGCTCTCTCGCGCCGGGCGGCGCGGGCGGTCGAACCTTTCCACGCCGGGCTTATCATCGCCTCTGCGAGCCTCGCGCCGCTCCGTCGCGTCCGTCCGCGATTGTTGAACCCGCGGCTCGGACTCGCGAGGGTGAGCGGCGGAGCTGGTCTCGCGAAAGCCCGAAAGCGCGCTTGATCGGAGGAGAGCAACGGCACGCCGCGGCCGGCCGTCGACGACGTGTGGACGATGGCGCGCGCGATTACCGATACCCGACACCGCGCCTGTAAGTCCCTCAAACAGACGGCGTAATCTACTTATACGGGTGCGGAGCTTCTAAACCGGTCAGCCATGACAGCGGGCCGCGCACGGGCGTTCGTGATCTCGCATTCCGCTGGCTCGCTCGTTACCTGGAGGGTACATACCTGCCCGTGGCAGCCGCCTCGGCGTCCGCGGCACCGCGCACGTGTTGTCGAGTCGTGGCCGAGGAAATGAAAATTTCCCCAGCCAGCCGGGCGAGCTCGAAACTTCGTCTCTCCGAAAGCTCATAAATAGCACCCCAATTCCCTTGTTGGTTCCTTTGCTTGTCCCGCGCCGCGCCGGAGGACGGAGATCCTGTGCGGGTGGCGCACGCGGAGGAGACGGAGAAGTGAAATACCGGTTCGTTGAGAAAGACAGAGAGAGAGAGAGAGAGAGAGAGAGAGAGAGAGAGAGAGAGAGAGAGAGAGAGAGAGAGAGAGAGAAGCGAGGGGGCGGGAGGGGAAGGAGGAGAGCGTAACGGGCCGTTGAATGTGTGGCTCTCTTAATGGTATTCAAGTGTGAACGCGGTAACATACCGAGACCGAGGATGAATGGGAGCTTAAGAGCCCAACGTGCTAACACCTACCGACAGCACGGAGATTATTCACGTCGGGACACGTCCCGATGTTCATGAGAGACGATCCAATGAACTCGTCGACTCGCCGATGTTGCGGCTCGTGTAGCGGCGGCTTGTAGCCGCATAATGCGAGAGGAACACGTTGTTCGCTGGGTCTCTCTCGAGCGGCTCGGCTCGGGCTCCGAGCTGCAGCCGAAGAAATGATTCCCCGCGCTCGCGCGCGCGCGCGCACGGCTTTCTTTCTCGCATCGTATCAATAGTTTCTCGGTCATCGAGCTTCGGCTGTGACCAACCACCGGACGATTCGGCGGCAGTCGGCCGGACAATCGAGCAATCTTCAAGCGCGCGCTTCAAGAGCGTCAATTGTACACCCCAAAAAAATATTTTATTTGTAAAGCGATTTTTCCCATAGTCTCATATTCAAACGAAGCCTTTTGTAGGAAAAGGATTCCTCCTTCGGTGAAGCGATTAAAGCGAACCATTCATCTGAAATTTATTAGATATTGTTCTGTCTTCCTTTTATTTCAAGAGGATTTTCTCTTATATCAATTAATTTTCCTCTTGTATCAAGAAGCTTGTCGGGGTTTTTTCTCTTCCATCTACTCACACAGAGACACTCTCTCTGCGCATATGACGTCGTCGTATTTGTTTTATGGACAACGTCTAGAGCAAAGGAGAAAAGAAGAGAGATCGTTATTCAGTTTATATTGTTCTTCCCAGTTATTTCGTCGTGCACGAAGTTGAAGAATTTTTGGAAAAAATTAACTTTAAGACATACCGGCTCATATTTCAGCGTAAGTACACACACATATATCCATTTATCATATCGCGTTGCACACCATATTAAGTGCCATTTAGAGTAGTTAAAATTACAAATTTATGTTCTTTCCTACTTTTCGAGCAGAAAGTAAAAGGATTGAACCAGTTTCATAATAATTTTCTCTCTTTTCCCTATAAAGGAACGTATAACTAGTAAGAATAAAATACAGTAAGAATAAATAATAATCTTCTTAAAAAAAGATTAAATAATCTGTGTACAAAATTTATATTAAAATCAATAAGATTTGCATTATACATACAACATATAATTCCTCTAACTTTAAGAAAATTATGTGTTTATAATGTTTCCCTCTTAATTTTAGAGGAATCCTCTTGAGATCATGCATAAGAGTAAAATCCTTTAAAATTTAGATGATTCCGCTTATTCTAAAATTACTTTTTTTGGGTGTACATCCGCTTGGACGCGCCGATCTCGCATGTCGATTAACACGTTCATTGCCAAACTGAAAATTTGAATTTCGTGTGGTGGCCAAAGTTATTTTTTCTTTTATTTATTTTTAGTCGTTTTTTTGCACGATTGAACTGGCATTGAACTGAGTCTTTTCGAGGGTCCTGGTTTGTCACTCATAATAAAAAACAATCGCGTGAACGGCCGTTTGGTGAGGGGCCGCAACACGCGATATCGCGTGAACGGCAATGAACGTGTTAGGAATACTGTTTGATTAATGCGGCGGTCCGGTCAGGCCGACGTTGCGATTGAGAATAATTCGCGTATCCATTTGTTTCGTCGTGCGGCCGACTTTGCTCGCGAATCTGTCTGATGTCGAAGTCTCTCGCCTCCTCTACTCCTCCGACCGACTTCGGAACGTCTTAACGTCGACGGACCAGACTAACTAGAGAAAAGTAAGCGGCGCTTTACGAACGCCGAGATCGATTTCCGCGGGCGCGCGCGATGCGACGCGAGCTAAGCGAATGCGAAGTAACGAGCTAGATATATCGCGACATCCGCGGTGTATTTTGATCGCGACGATTGCATAATATCGAAAATGTATATATAGCCGCGCGCGCGCGCGCGCGCTCTCTCTCTCTCTCTCTCTTCTTGAAATTTCGTGCACGTAAAATATCAGCCGAGGGACGGAGTCCTTCCTTTGACCAGGTCAAGGGACCGAGCGGACGTTGCTCGAAAATCAAGCCATTGTTTCTCCATTAAGTTTTAGTCGCAGCTTGAGAAGGTGTCCGATTTTTCGCCTCGGCAGAGTCGACCGGCTTCTTTATCCTCGCACGCCTCCGAAGGTTCCAGAGGGATGTATTTCTAATACGGCACTTAGTGCCCAAGAATTCGAGGAATTCACACAGCTATGTTATAGAAAGCGGTTCGCAGGTAGATAAGGAACTCGGGTAGCGGACGGGCAGCAGATGGAAGTAAAGGCGCGCCGCCGGTTTCGTGGCCGACGTGGCAGTCAGGTTGCATCCAATCGTGAGTCACAATTTCCGTAGTTCGTGCGCCCGGGACGCTCATCGACAAATGCAGGGACATGTTAATAAATAATGGCTTGACTTTTGTCAAGCGTGTCTGATTTGTGGACAGGCCGTGTGCAGGTGGAGAAGAGAGGCAGAGAGGGAAGGGACGGGGGAAGAAAAGAGAAAGTTGTCCGTAATCATTAATGGCGCTACGATTAAACAGGAGAATCGTGAGATGCAGTGAGGTGCGCTCGAACGTTACGTGAAGACGTTAAAGTGCGAACGTCCAAGAGCGCCACTACGGCACGAAGATGAGCGCACACACATCCTGTCGATTAAATCCTCCATATCTTACAATCAGCGGCCACGCTGTCGAAACGGCGCATAAATAAATTAATCCGGCGCGCAGCGCAACTCGAACGTCCCGCATTGAAACGTCGGAGTTACATCGGCCCCGGCGAGTTAAGAGGAGTTAAGAAAGACATAAATGTCGGGATTGAACTGGTAACTCGTGGGAAAGCTATTTTCACGTTCTCAAGGAGGATGAGGAGGATGAGGAGGAGGAGGTGGTGGTGGTGGTGGAGGAGGGGGAAAAGGAGGAGAGCGGGAGGGGGAGGGACGCATTACGGGCGGCACCAGCTGCGGAATGCGCGCCAGCATCCCGTACGCGGTGCAACTCGCGTTTTCTCGCTCGTCCGAACGGCTTTGTTTCGCGGATACAAGCGGACTTACCGGGAATCGCGACGCCAAACGTTTTGTCACGTGCGCTCGATGAAAACCAGCCGCGACTCGCCTCTCATCCTCCGCCTCCGCCTCCTCTCTCTCTCTCTCTCTCTTTCTCTCTCTCTCTCTCTCTGTCTCTCTCTCTCTCTCTTTCTGTCTCTCCTTTTCATCATCGTGGGAAAATCAACGCGGATGCGCGAGAGCCGGGATTCCAATCCGCAGTTTACGCTTTATTTATGCTAATAGTTTGCTTGTGCTCCCCTTACCCCCCGGCCGCGCGCGGGAAATTCGATGAGAGGAAAAACCGATAAGTAACTTTATTTATGTAACTCGGCGACACAGTCGCCGCATTCCCGGCGCCCGGCACCGAGATCGGGCGACGCAGATAGAAAGAAAGAGAAAAGAAGAATCAAAGCGACTCGCGACATCGTCCGGAAATCGGATTTCGTAGCGAAATGCTTTATAATCCGATACCACCTCCCCCGGAGGCGCTTTATCAGTCGCCGCCGGCCGCGTAAAATAGGAATAATCGCACGCGCGATCGATTGCGGAAAATTGCATTACTCGCAAGCGACACGGGCAAACTTTATCCGCGAATCTCTTTTCATTAACGGATAACGAAAACTTGCGAAAGCGATTTCCCCTCGAGTCTCATCCGGAGATAGAGACGAGGAAAAAGAGAGAGAGAGAGAGAGAGAGAGAGAGAAAGAGATAAAGAGAGAGAGAGAGAGAGAGAGAGAGAGAGAGAGAGAGAGAGAGAGAGAGAGAGAGAGGGAGAGAGAGAGAGAAAGAGAGAGAAAAAGGTAGGTCGCCTCTGCCAAGATCGCGCGCCGATCGATAAATCTGTCGTTAGGATTAACATCGGGCGAACCCAAGACACTCATTTTGCAATCGAAGGGGCATTTAGATGAAGCCGCATGGAAACGCTCCGCGGGCGCCGAGCTGTACGATGTTAATAAACGGCGCGAGAGACGGGGAGAGAAAAGAGTCCGAGTGAGAGGGAGAGACTCGACTCTCGTCGGCTGTGCAACGCGATCCCGGCGAGGAAAATGCAAAAACTAGAAATCCAATTAAGATTCCTTGGCGCCACCTAGTGCACGCGCAGTCGCGTTAGTCAAAGATATATGCATATACAATGCGGCCCGCGACATTCGTCCGATAATTATGCGCGGACACTTCTTGTTTACGAGCGGGGATTATGAATACGCATGGCGAATTTATCGACGCGAGCGCGCGCCAACTTTTACGGCGGCCTTAACGGCGCGCGCGCTACGGAAAAATTAAACGATCGCGCGATAGAACACGACCGTCACCGTGTTGCGAGCGAGCGATCGAGGACGTAATAGCAGCAACAACAACAACAACAACAATAACGGCGATCAATCGCACTGCGTGTCGCTCGTAGGAGCTCTGCGATCGATGAGTAATAGAAATGTTCAGCAGCGCGTCGTAATCGGTCTTGTCGCGCGTTACGCGATATCCTCTCTTTCTCTCACACACATTCACTCGCACACACACACACACACACACACACACACGCGCGCGCGCGCGCAAACATACGCCGACTGTCTCAATTGTCCCAGTTGTCCAACCGGAAAAATGATTTCCCGCTCGCAAAAAAATTGCGCACGGGCGCAATTCGCACACGTCGAAATCCGCGAGGCTGCGGCGAGGCCCGTCGATTGGCGATCACGACTTCCGAATTCGTCTCGCTCTCCGGGTCAATTAATTATCGCGCTCCGCGGCGTGGTATCTCGTGAGTTCCCCGCACACG